TTCTCTTCCCTTCTCTCCGGTTGATTGACGTGCCCCGAAGCAGGGGAATGTAACTATAAAAGGAGAAGAATTAGTGAAATAAAGCAGTTCGATATCACGATAAAATCATCTTATCGTTACACACGCCATTTCTGATCAAGACGAGCGATGAGAAATGAACCATCAGTTTTTTCATCGCCCCAATCGATTTTCCAAATAATTTTATCATCCCCTTCACCAGGTCGTAATTCAATGAAAATATTAACACGATAAGCACACAAATCAAATATGTTATCATATAAGATTTCCCAATTATAATCGACTTTTGCATTACATATGAATTCAATCTTGGGTTGATCAAATGAAACATGTCGAAATATCAATACACTACCCATCCATAACATTTTGTTTAAATCAGTTGAAATAAATTGAAAATAAGGACCTAGTGAGGATCCAGGAGATTTAGGTGGACGATTAATTGCAGGTGATTCAGTAACTGCTTCAATAGATGGAGGCAGTTCAGGAACTTTCGAAGTTGTTGGTTTGGGTGGTGGATAATCACCCATAAATTGAGGATTGACATTAACTGGATTCGGTGCATTAATCTTCAAATCACCATATTTATCTTTTATATCATTTTTAGCGTTGTTACAATTTGTATTTGCCATCTATCAACAGACAATTAAAAAATTAAAAAAAAATCACATTAGTTTTCTTTTTCAAAATATATAGTGGTATTGAATAGAAATTATTTTCGAAGATATTTGTTGCATATGATCGAATGCAGTTACTTTTATTAATAAAAGGAAATGTTTAAGAGTACAAAAAAAAAGTTCGTCATCAATATGCATGCACTGCATTGTGTATTGACGGATTCTTTATTATTACCCACGTTTCTGTTTTTCTTATGATGAAGAGAATGAAAAAAAAAAAGACATTTTTCATAGTTGTGCGAGATAGGTCACAGTGTAACTCAGTTAGACAATTTCCTTTATCGTTCTTTCATTTAATAATGACTCATCCAGTCAAAGAGAACGAAGAAGAGCTCTTTGACGATAAATATTTATAATTCAACGTGAACAAGTATACTGAGTAGCGTAAAAAAAAATGTTCCTCACCTCTGGTAAAGTATTATGCAATAATTATAGATGATGTTTCTTTTCGTTCACAAGAAATGATCAGCTCTAAATAACACGAAAATTCATCTGTTTCTCATATAGCGCTGGAAATTATCTATTATGCTGTATTGTTAAAGCTTTTTAGATTGAATTATTTCTTAACTAAAATATTGTCAAAAGACTCGAATTTCAAGTAAATCAGAGGTTTCTTTCTTTGTATAATATTCTCTACAAGAGCACATTCACAATAGTACTAGCAGTGAAAAACAAAGTTGTTGATAAGAGAGGATTCGCGAGAGCACCCAGCATCATGTCTATATACGTGGCACTGGATAAAAAAAAATGTTGATTTTCTTTGGCTCATTCAACGCTTCAATGTTCGAAATCACCAACTTCAAAATTTTAGCTTCTGAGACACTTCCTTTGAAAAGTTAGTCAAGACCGACTTTCAGCACTGTAATGATTTCGATGGAAAAAAAAACCACTAAAAAATGCTGTATAAACGTTGTGTCTGATTGCGTTTCAACAGATCATTGAAAATTTTTATGTTATATACCAGAAGATAGAGAATTAAAAGCTGAACAAAATAAGTTATTTGGATATAATATAATGTGTAGCAGCTCAAGTTTTATAAAAGCAGCATGAGTCAAAAATGCCTCTTTTTTCAGTCTAAAACATCCACTTTATAACAGTGTGTCTCCCACCGTATTTCAGAGTTAGAGAGTTCCAAGCTGAATTTTATATAAGTTATGCAACTTTTTATTCTCTAGAAAATAGTAACAAACAGATTCTGAAGAAAATGGTATAATCGGATCCATATGGGACTTACATCTTCTTGATTTGATACTTTCTCATGGACTTTTCAAAGGAAAAAAAATATTTTTAGCGATTTTCATTTCCATGATATCATGGTAAGGCAAAACAGATACGATATTCGGAATCAGCGTCAAAAACTGCGTTGAATCACATAAATTTTAGAGAATTTTTTTCTGTAAAAATTCACCTGTACTTCCCTGATAGCTGAATTTTGAAAAAATAGTTCCCCTGATCTCCTACGGGTCAATGTTCGAAAAGAAAAAACTTTCCTCAAATTTATGTGATTCAATGCAATTTTGGACACTGATTCCGAATATCGTATCCATTTTGCATTACAATGGTGTCATGCAAAGGAAAATCGCTAAAAATATTCTTTTTCCTTCGAAAAGACCATGAAAAAGCATCAAATAAGAGAAGATGTGTAAGCCACATATGGACCCGATCATACCATTTTTTTCTGGATCTTCTTTTACTATTTTGTAGAGAATAAAAAGTTGCATAACATAGATAACATCCAGTTTGGAACTCTCTGGTTGGACGTGGGGTGTGGATGTGAATGTTGAAGAATAGAAGATCTATCCTTATACACACACCATTGGGATTCAATTTGAATCGCAATGGGATTCAACAAACTAACGATGCTCATCAAGCCAAAATGGACTTCGAAATGTATTGAGTAATTCATCAGCCCGTTCTTCGATGATGTCATTCCTACTAAAGTAACTTGATATTTTAAAAATGAATCGCTTTAGTTTGACCAAATGATTAGAAATGATGTTTTCCCATTCATGTCCATTGATGTAAGCAATGCAAACCACTTACAATCAACACAGATTGGACATCTATCGGACCATATTAAGTAAATCGCATGCACAAATACTTAGCGATAGCTCGAAAGTAGTTATTGTTAAAACAGATAACGTTAAGAATTGGTGAGGACAACGCGAGGAAAAGAATGATGAGAAGTGTTGAAGATTCTGTGTTTTTTCACACAGATGATCCAAGTTGAAAGACACAGTATCAAGAACCAATATAGACAAATGTGTAATACTTGATGATGTTACGCTTGGCTCTATGAACATGCTAAAACTGTTTTGATATGCAAAGATATCGTCAAAATAGCAATGAGTAAGCTTCAGTAGACTTAATATACAGTTTGGGTGTGGATGTGGGTGGGTGGGGTGTCGGATGTGGGTGTGTGGCTGGGTGTGGATGTAGGTGAATGTGCGTTGAGCCAGGACTGAGATCCACACTCACACCCACAACATAGTCGGAATGAATGACACTCCAAAAGTACATTTATGGAGAAGATTAATTATAATAGATATACTATAAATAGGCACATTGATAGCAAAACAATAGATATCTCTCAGTGACAATGGCTTTCGACTGTTTGAAAACGAAGTTTTCTCATGATCTTACCTGTTATTTTGATAGACGAGGAAAATGAACTTGAAGACTCAAATGCATTAATTTCATTTTACTTTAATAAACATTTTTCATTCATCTCTAAAGTATATTTAAATCTATCTTAACCAACAAAAAACAAGAAGTAGCTAGAATTTTTAAAATAGATAATACTAATTAGTTCTTGTAGATTATGATGAGACTGATTGAGTTGTATTAAACAATCACCATAGTAAATTATAGGGTGTTGGTGTGGGTGGGGTGTGGGTGTGGGTGTGGGTGTAGGTTTGAAGACTACTAACAGCTTCGCTGACACCCTCACCCTCACTCACACCCACACCCACACCCACACCCCACAATCACACCCACACCCCACAATCACACCCACACCCATAGCTTTCGTTTATTTTTGCTTAGAGGGGGGAAAATTTAAGAGAGAAAGTCTCCCGAAGTGAAAGAGAAACGTTTTTTACGTTCGGTTTTTTCCACTAAAATATAGTGCTAGATGATACTTTCAAGAACCGCGTTATCCAATAGATCGATATTTTCTTCGTTATGTTTGTGCATATAAAGCTGCGCTGAAAATTCAGAAAAATGAAAACAAGTTTATTTTTTATATACAAAAATATTTATATCAATACTTTCAAAAGTAATATACTTTCAAAAGAGTATTTGACTTTAACTATTATTCATCCTCAGTACTATCATCACTATTATTTTCGTGCTTGTATATCATGATATTACGAGCTTTTGCTCGTCCTGGATACATACAAAAATGTTGCACGATATCATCTAAATCATCATCAGTAACATCCAATTTTAAAACACTAAACTTCACAGCCGTTTCTAATGCTGTGGGTGAGAGATTATTTCGTAATTTGGTTTTAATTCGCTTTAATGCACTAAAACTTCTTTCGCATTCATTAGATCCAATAGGTAAAGTAGTTAATATCTGATATAATTTTAACCATTCAGGTACTAAATAATTTCCATTCACTGATAAAAACTTTAATATATCTAATAAACAAACTTCATCATTAATTGTTTTCTTTTCTTGCATTCGTTTAACTTCATTATTTGCACTTTTTAATAAAACACGAACTTGTGGAAGTTCTTTTTCTAATTTTGCAAAACATAATAAAGGTTCATCAGTTCGTTCATATATTTTATGATTAACTCCTTTGTGTTTATAATAAATTTCATTGAAATATAAATTTAATAAAGGATTTTTCAATACTTCCTCATTACTATAATCATTTAATTTTGTAAACATTGAAATGTTATCCATGATAATACGAGAATCTTGTCCAAAACGTTCATTAATAGAATTCAATGTAGAATTAATAAACTTTTTGCCATAATCATTCAAAGCAATTGCCATATCTATATGAATATCATTGGAATTGTTATTAATAGAGTTAGAGCTTCTTGTTGAATGTGCTGTTCGGTGTGTCATTGGTAAAAGAACACGACATTCTTTAACTTTTTGTTTATAAATTTCATAATCAAATTCATTTAATGTATTTTCTATACGAATAGTAGTTGAATCTAAGCATGTAGAAAATTTATCAAATGTCATTGAACGACTTTCTGTTTGTTTCAAAAACAGTTTAGCATGTCCCAATATAATTTTCATGATTCCAACTTCGTAAATAAATTTTTCATTAACAAAACGAATTGCAAATCCATTTGCTGTTTCCGAACCATCTTTGTTATTTGCATGAATTTGAATTAAAGCTGATACAATTGAAACCATATGAGTCCACACAAAATTAGCTAATTGATAATGATACACCCATCGGGTGTCACTTGCACTTGGTACTTTAGTACCTTTAAAAAAACATAAAACATTAGATACAAAACATATTTTGAAACAAGAATTTTATATAATGATTCTTTTCTCTCTAAAGTTTATTTTTCTTTGTTAAAATAGAAAGAATTTTTCTTTACCTTCTTTACTGGTTTCATGAAAAATTTGTGATCTTTTTAATGTATCAAGTCGTTGTGGAGATTCTTGAAAAAAGACAAGTGTTCTGTGAATTAAATCGTATGATTTATAAAATTCATTTGTTAATGTATCTTTCACAGAAAGATTAATCAAATGACTTCGACAATGTACATAAAAAGCAAATGCATTAATTCTAGATCTAATATGTCCTTGAGCTTGACACCTAACTGAAGATGCACCATCGAAGCATTGACCCATCAGAATAAATTTTTTATCTAATTCTTTTTCTAAGTCAAATAAGAACTGATTAATTACATCAAATATCGCCTATAAAAAAGCAAAAATATTTAAAGTACAATATAGCAAGACGTACTTCTCCTGTTTGAGAATGAATTTCACATAAACAAATAATTCTTTCAACTAATTCTCTAGTAGAAGGATTAAAATAACGTAGACAGATACATAATTGTTCCATTACTGTAACATCGCATGTTTCATCAGCTATTATTGTAATATAAGTAACATTTTTTAATTCTTCTAACTGCTTTTTCCATAGCCACTTTTGCACACTAAGTAACCAATCACCACGACTTTCTGCACTCCAATACAACTCTTTTTTGTTGGCTATAGATAACCACTGAACTATTGGTTCAGAAAGATTCAGCTGTTGTAGTTCGATCAAATCTTTCAAATTCATAAATGCAAATTCTTGCTTCAGTAAGAAAATGAACGACCGTGCAACAGCACGCAAATAATTTAAACTTGCTTTTTTTGTATTAATTTTTGTTGAGTTTAATTGTTCTATAACTGTACCATGATCTTCAGATTGTATTTTTGATTGATATTTCATTAAGGATTGTTTATGAAGTTCAGATTCTTCATGTTGTCTAATTCCTACAATAAAGCTGTTTGAAAAAGTTTTTCTCATAAAAATCAAGGCTCTTTGCGCAGAAAAAAATCTTCATTTGGAACAAACTTTCTTCTTAATCAACTACAGCGATACAATTAAAAGCTCCTGAGACTTGGATTCGACTATCAGCTTAACCTCGGCAAGCATATTATATATCTTGACAAACACTGCAGCGTCATAATTATATAAACTATTCTAAGAAAAACTGGCACATCAAATTGTTAAATCTGCCAATAAGGCACTAGTTTTGAAAACTGATTTTGATCCAGTATGCTATCAAAAGCTTCACCGGAACCTGAATGTCCTTTTTTGATGATGCTAGCCGTATGAAAAATTTAGACTCAGTACATTAAGAAACTATTGAAAAATTTTAATAGTTAATCATACCGTCAAGACCTTTGTGCAGCAATTTCCAGTAAGGATGAGAAATAAAAGCTCCTTTGTTTTTTACTAATCTTGAGTTACACTTGGCTTCTTGTACACAAATAATACATAACAATCCATATTTTTTTTCCGAATATACAGCACGAAGCCAGGTTGCTCTTGCTGCTGTGAACCATGTTGAACTTGGTTTTGATTTACCAGCAGCACCATCTGATAACCAAACATTATCGTTCAATAATGATCGCTGTTGATCAACAAATTTTAATTCTCGATCTGTTATAAATTGAACACCTGGTAATGATATTTTAATACAAGCTGGACGATTAATCGGTATATAGGTCGATGAACAACATGCTTCATTATCAATTATATTTTTATAACTTGTATCAGGACTAATACCATCAGTTATTATATCATTTAATGACATTAAAGCATCATTATCATTCATATTTTCACTCTGAATCATATTAGAACTAATCATACCAAGAGATGAGTTATCCGTTAATATTAAATCATCATTTTGATCTATAACAGAATTTATATGAAAAACATGATGTTCATTTTCTAATTGAGCAAATATGTCTTCGAATATTTCTCGTAATATGGTCATATCATCATAATCATTGCTGTTGCTTTCATTCAAGTAAATATTTGAACTTATTAATGGAGAAGAAAGTGTATCAAAACTTTGTTGAATAATTGTTGTAATGCATTCTTGTTGTACATCTTCACTTAATCGACGTTTCTTATTGTCAAAAAATTTGTCGATTCCTGTTGTTGTGGTAATTTTGTGTTGGTTTGAAATATTTGTCTTTAAGGTATTGAAAACTTCATCATATGTTCTTTTTCTTTCATTTCGTTCATGATGAGTACACCAGTGACGTTTAAAATTTTTCACTTGAACGCTTACTCGACAAACAGGACAAAGTCCTTTTTGAGAGCTGGACATATTTTCAATCTTGATATAAAATATTGTAAACCTAGAGTAGAGATTTTCGATCAAGAAATGTCGTTGATAGTATTTACCTGTTTTTATTTCCTTTACAGATGATTCATTTTCTGTTTGAGAATTTCAAACAGAAATTAGTTCAAATTGAAGAAAAAACAGTACACATTGAAAGAGAAAATAGTACACATTGAAACAGAAAATAGTCCAAATTTAAAGAGAAAATAGACCAAACTCAAAGATAACAGTACATATTGAAAGAGAAAATAGGCCAAACTCAAAGAGAAAATAGTACACATTGAAAGAGAAAATAGTCCAAACTTAAAGAGAAAATAGACCAAACTCAAAGAGAAAATAGTACACATTGAAACAGAAAATAGTCCAAACTTAAAGAGAAAATGGACCAAACTCAAAGAGAACAGTACACATTGAAAGAGAAAATAGTCCAAACTTAAAGAGAAAATAGACCAAACTCAAAGAGAACAGTACATATTGAAAGAGAAAATAATACACATTAAAAGAGAAAATAGTGCACATTGCAGAAGAAAATAACACACATCGGGAGAAAATAGTTCGTATGCAATGCAGCAAGCAGTTCTCCTTGCGAGTATTCAGAGAAAACTATTTTGTATCAGAAAATACAACAAGTTTGTGTGTGTATAGCTCATCGTGCTTACTAAAAGATAAAAACCGCTCTGTCCCTAAAATTCTCAGGGAGAAAGCCAATACATAAGAAAAAAATTAGCGGGGGGAAATACCCCCGCTTCCCCCCCTAATCGTAGGGCCTGGCCATGTTCTGACACTAATCTTCCAAAATGAGAAGAGATACTTTCAGACCGCATTCACTTAGCTTCAAACAGACTACACGCGACACTTCTAAATCTTTTTTACATTCAGTTAGATTTATGGTAGATTTTCTAGCGGACTCTACAAATTCCTAAACTAAATATAAAACTGCATTGAAAGCATTAGCGAACTCTACATCTTCATAAACNGACTTCTGTTCACCTCTTTTGCTCACTTCGAAGCAAAGGTTGCGACTCGGTCAGCTGATCGAAGATCACATGGGAAAGGAACATTCTTTAGGATACTTCTGTTCACCTCTTTTGCTCACTTCGAAGCAAAGGTTGCGACTCGGTCAGCTGATCGAAGATCACATGGCAAAGGAACATTCTTAATCAGACTTCTGTTCACCTCTTTTGCTCACTTCGAAGCAAAGGTTGCGACTCCGTCAGCTGATCGAAGATCACATGGTGAAGAAAAGGGAATAAGCACATATCGCCCCACCTTTTTATTTATTTATCCAAGCAACATCAAAAGCTGAATTCTCATGGCAAACATTAATGGAACTTTCAAGTAACAAGCGGATGACTATTATCAGTAGCATGCTCGTTTATTTACATCAATATAACAAAAAGTATTGACTGATTTGTAAATAATTTTTGATTGCATATATAATGAATGATGTTGACGCTTCTTAAATTTTTCCCAATAGTTCTGTTCATCTATGTTTTTATCTATCTTGAAAGCTTTCATCAATGCTTCTGAATCGATCTGTTGAACGAAAATTTTGCCATAAATGAATTATTTTCATATTTAGGATTGTATTCAAGTATTCTTGATCGCTTTCATAAAAGATGATGCATTACTGTGGAGATCGACGTTCATAGATTAATTGAATTAGCCTTACCAATGTTTTGTTCAGTTTTCTTTCGCATTTAAAATGATCTATTAGCATTATTGATATCGATCCGTGATCACAAAGCTAATGAATATGCATCATCAGTATTGTATGGACTTATCATATTATTGTTGAACCAAAACATTCAAATAATGATTGATCTAAAAGCATCTCATGGTATGCCAACGTATTTTCTATAAAGAATGTATTCAATTATTTGAACTTCGTTTCTAATAAATGCTGCAAATTAATGTGTTCATTGAAGATGACAAAGTTGATAAATCAATATAACGTTTCACATCATTTTCGTTCCAATACATCCATCCACTTTTACTTTGCACATGAAAGAAAAGATTGATGATTACCTTCATCTAATGGGTAACACGATGATTGAATGGCTCCAACTGTTGTAATGACCATGTTCATCAACATGACTGACTTAGCAGTAAAGACTTCCAATCACTTAAAAGATCAAATTTCGTGTAATGCCGGTATTTTTTTATTCCTGATGCGTACTTCATCTATTTTTCTTTTTTCATTCGAAGGTTTTTGCATTGACAAAGGCATTCGTTGTTTCTATCGCAAATGAATTGTCACTATCCATTGCCAATCAGTCGGATGATTTCGTTGATCTATTTCATTCGTGTTCAAACAAAACATTCAACAAAGCTAAGCACATTGAAATTCACTAATGAAATGAACAATCATCATTGCCAGTTGATTTTATAAACTTATTTTATCAGCATTACCTTTCTTTGTTTGAAAATTGACACGCTATTGATGCTTGTACGTCAAATGAATAACGTTAGTAATACCAATTGTTGCATTTATCGATGTTCTTCGCTCCAACTCAAAACTACTAACTTTCGCAATACAACGAAGATGACATATCAAATGACTTAACGGGATCAATGTCCTATTCACTTATGTCTTCCTAACTTAAAAATCTAATATTGACAGTTTATTAAAGAATTTCAGACCTTATAGAATAAGAACGATTCGAACGGCATTTTTTGCATACCGCACAAATACTCTGTTCCAAAGATTGGTTCATAATAATAGAAATGCTTTCAAATTGCTCCAACAGTTGAAATTGTCTGATCGTTGAATAATTAATAGCATGGCACCATTCGCTTATATTCGTAAGAGACGAAAATTTGAAGAAGTTTTTACATGAATAACAGATTGCATTAGTAGAGAATACAAAAGACGACCATTACCTTATTATTCACTTATCTTTCATTCTCTCAGCAAGTTTTTTTCTTTCTTTAACTAGTAGTGTTACATCGTAGAATATATGGACATACATAACAAACGTTTATTTCAATTATTTTCAATTTTTCAACGTCAATGCCATAACATATTGTGCAAACCGATGGTCATATAAAAAATGAATACCTTTCACCCAGTGCCTCATAAGTGCCGAGATCGGCGAATTCTTTATCCTCTAAAATGAAAGTTGAAAATGTTCCAAGTAATGTAGTATTAAACAGATGACAACTTCCTATCCATGAAATATGGTAAATAGTTATAGCAAGAAGAATGACTGTCTATTTGTCAACTGTATACTCGCTCATGCATACAAAACTCAAAAGTTCAATTGAGTAAAGAATGTATTCGATAAGCTGTTTTATGTCTTTTATGGAATATACAAATTTTCTTCATAATTTCAAGACTTTTCCCTAGACTGAAAGACTAGAGTCTAGAAACCATAATTCACCTGTGTCTGTCTGTCTGTCTGTCTGTAACACTTGGTACAACTGACCATTTTCATGGTACAAAGTACCACAGTCGCAGTACAAAGTAGCATACTTGCGGTAGAAAGTACCATACTCGTGGTAGAAAGTGCCACAGACGTGGTACAACTGGCCATTTTCATGGTACAAATGACCATTATCGTGGTACAAAGTAGCACGGACGTGGTGCAACTGACCATTTTCATGGTACAAAGTACCACAGTCGTGGTACAAGTGACCATTTTCGTGGTACAACGTACCATTGTCATGGTATAAATGACTATTTGATGGTGCAAAGTACCACAGTGCTGGTACCTTGTCCCATGAACATCGTTACATGTACCACGACTGTGGTACTTTGTATCATGAAAATGGTCACTTGTACCAAGACTGATACTTTGTACCATGACGGTGGTCATTTGGACCATGGTTATCAGGTGTTTATTGCATTACCGAGACAGTCTGGCACATTTGAACCAATGCTTCTACGTCAGTATATCAGTCTAGGGTCAAGCGAATCGACTCTCGATTAGCGTTACTTGTCATCAACACACTATGAGAATTTCGAGGAATTAAGAGCTATATCAAAATTTTTACAATCTTTGAGAATAGGACAATAAAACAAGTAATACTCGATGCTGTAGCTCGTTTAACCATCGACTCTATCGTGCGTACACTGTAAAAAAGGTGCAAAATAATAAACTGTTTTTACCATATGTGAAAATTTTCATCAGTACATAAAGGGTCTATGTAACAAAAAAGATGAAAAATGGTTTGTTTCGCTACTGCTGCAGCATTTATTTTATTGTAGTCACACTGACGAACTGGAAGAGAAGCGTTACCGCTTTGCTCAGCATATGATGCTCACTTTACTACTCTATCTCCCAGTTGTCTTCATATTACGCCGAGCAATGCATTGTATTGAAGAATGAAAAAGAAAAGAGAAAGGAGAGAACACTGGTGCAATAAAGATGAAGGACAAGAAGATACGCACGCAATATAATAGCAAGATTTTCCCATATAACAGATATCATGTAAGAGTGATACGATGTAAGAGCGGTATGCATATCGGCACAGTCTATTATTCTGCAAGTGTTTATAAAAGTATAGTCATGTTCTGTCGTTGTTTTCTGCATTCTATGCTGAAAACTGTCAGAGAAAGAGCATTCACGAAGCAGAAAAACTACAAGATATAGTTAGCAATCACCGTTCTACAACATGAGAAGACTTTAGCAATTTCGTTGATAAGACAACACAACAAAGTTCAGCAAACACGTGGCTGTCGGCCCTCAGCTGTTATTCTGGCCGCTATTTCTTATCACTTCACTTCCTCATAGGGATGTGCAGTATCAGTATACTGACCACCGTTAAAATCACACTGGCGTTCACTGGTGCGGTGACGACACTGACACTGAGCGAACTGTCTGCAGTGACGCACTGACACTGAGCGAACTGTCTGCAGTGGCACACTGACACTAAGCGCACTGTCTGCAGTGACACACTGACACTAAGCGCACTGTCTTCAGTGACATACTGACACTAAGCGCACTGACTACAGTGCCTGCACCGACATTTGTGTTCACTGGACCAGTGCATACACTGACACTGACTACACTTGTTGCACTGACGCATACTGGAACACTGACGTACTGATACTCATTCCATTGACTAGAATTTATACACAGAAGACGACGACATATTCCGCTTGTAATATGTGGATTAACAAAAAATTTTCATCGAATGGAAGCATATCTGCTTAGTAGTTTGATTTCTTGGTTGAGGTTAGCTACATACACTTTCACGTGCTAACACTTTTCTCACCATTCCATAAAAAGCTACACTTAGCCGCTTCAACACAAAAGAGGCGTTCGTTACCGATCTACTTCAGACGCTTGTATAGCTCTCATTTGAAGGAAGGAAAAAAATACAAAATTAAAAATTCGTTTTTTTGCTTTAGATTTGAGAAGGAATTTATTTTTTGGTCATGAGTATTAGGAAGATCGAGCTCTTTTATTCTCTAGTTCGGCTGTTAGAAGAATTCTGAATTGGATTATGGTGGTAAGGAGCTTGGATATGTGAGGATAGTAGTGTGGGAAAGCTGTGTATAGTACAGCAGTGTGTATTGTACAGAATGTAGGCGAGGTATCTCATTATATTACAGATAAGAATTCTTTCTCTTACGAAATCTTACTTTCTACGAAACTCAAAAGGGTTTCGATTTCGTTTCAAAGGTCGAAACTTTTTAGGGTTCCGTAGGGTACCTTTTTTTCAGTGTATTCGGATTGTACAACATCACTAAAGAGGAAACATTCCCGAGTGTCACACCGCTTTTAAGTCGAGCATATGTGCACTATGTAGATCCTAACGATCTATGAATTCTCTGGGAAAAGTTCGTGCCGCTAGCTTATTATTGCTGAGATACTGCCTTTTTACTGTATGTTTAAGAAAAAAGAGCTGTGGTCCCCCTCAAGGATATCCGAAAAACTGAATTTCGAATTTCCACTTCAAACTTTGCATAGATATATGTCTCAATCAGAATAGTTTATTGTGAAAGTTTCAGCTCTTTTCGCTGTTTCTGTCATAAAATACAGTTATCTTGAAATTGCTTCTAAACACCTACAGATACGATGTTCTTATCTTAGACTAGGAGCAACCAAAACATTTGAAACCTTCACAATAAACTATTCTCACTAAGGCCTATCTATGTGAAAAGTTTCGGGCGGAAACTCAAAACTCACTTTTCATGATGTTCCTGAGGGGACCACAGCTTTTTCCAAAACACATAGTAAAAATGTTGTATCTCAGCAGCAAGAGGCTAGCGGCACGNATTTTTGAACCAACTTTAATCTTAGACAACTGAAAAACTAAAATTTAGTTGAGTATCACTAGGGATATGCAGTATCATTATACTGACCACCGATAAAATCACACTGGCGTTCACTGGTGCGGTGACGACACTGACACTGAGCGAACTGTCTGCAGTGACACACTGACACTGATCGCACTGTCTTCAGTGACATACTGACACTAAGCGCGCTGGCTACAGTGCCTGCACCGACATTTGTGTTCACTGGACCAGTGCATACACTGACACTGACTACACTTGTTGCACTGACACATACTGGAACACTGACGTACTGATACTGCTTCCATTGACTAGAATTTATACACAGAAGACGACGACATATTCCGCTTGTAATATGTGGATTAACAAAAAATTTTCATCGAATGGAAGCATATCTGCTTAGTAGTTTGATTTCTTGGTTGAGATTAGCTACATAAACTTTCACGTGCTAACACTTTTTTCACCATTCCATAAAAAGCTACACTTAGCCGCTGCATCACAAAAGAGGCGTTCATTACCGATCTACTTCAGACGCTTGTATAGCTCTCATTTGAAGGAAGGAAAAAAATACAAAATTCTTTTCTTGAATAGTTTGAATATCTTGAGCGTGTGGGTGTGGGTGTGGGTGTCGCTGTTCACTAAAGTCTCTCTCGAAGCCAACCTGCATCCACACCCTCAAGATATCTGAAAAACTGAATCTCGTATATCCACGTCAAACTTTGCATAGATATATGTCTCAATGAGAATAGTTTATTGTGAAAGTTTCAGCTCTTTTCGCTGTTTCAGTCATAAAATACAGTTATCTGAAAATTGCTTCTAAACACCTACAGATACGATGTTCTTATCTTAGACTAGGAGCAACCAAAGCATCTGAAACCTTCACAATAAACTATTCTCACTAATGCCTATCTATGTGAAAAGTTTCGGGCGGAAACTCAAAACTCACCTTTCCTGATGTTCCTGAGGGGACCACAGCTTTTTCCAAAACACATTGTAAAAATGTTGTATCTCAGCAGCAAGAGGCTAGCGGCACGAACTTTTTCCGGAGAACTCATAACTCATTAGGGCCTAGTGTATGTACTGATTCAGTGACCACCAATATCAGTGTAGATAGTGGAACCAGTGCAGTCAGTGTCAGTGTATGCACTGGTTCAGTGAATATTAATATCGGTGTAGACACTGGAGTCAGTGCACTCAGTGTCAGTGTGTCACTGCAGACAGTTCGCTCAGTGACAGTGTGTCACTGCAGACAGTTCGTTCAGTGTCAGTGTGTCACTGTCAGTAATTCACTGTTTTCACCGAAACTGCACATCCCTACCCACACCCACACCCACACCCAGACCCAGACCCAGACCCAGACCCAGACCCAGACCCAGACCCAGACCCAGACACACCCACAGCCANATCAAGCGATACGCCGTATTCATTCTTCAATCGATTCTCAATCCGATGATAGTATACCATTCAATGAACAATCGACAAATACAGAGCCACATTTTTTTTCAACATCCCATGGCTCTTTAGATTATGAAGCTGATGAACACGACAACGTTTATATCAATTCGAATGACATTCCTGATGATACACCGCCGTTATTTCTAGGTTCATCTATTAGCACTGCACTTGCTACAGATCGTATCATGAAATTTTCACTTGATGGTAATTTGGATAAACTGAAATCTAAAAAACTACTCGTATTAATAAAATCACTTTTGCCAAGTCCCAATAATCTTCCTGTTACACATAAACAAGTACTCAAACGGTTTGGTCGAACGTCAATGTTTACAACTCAATATTATTGTAATCACTGTTCAAATATTGTATCTACTTTGAAGCTTGGTGCAAAGATATGTTTAACCAGTGATTGCATAGGATCTCAACGTACATTGAATAGCAATGAATTAACAGAAGTTGTCACCGTTAACATCATTTCACGTCTAGAATCGATTTTGGTACGTAATATTGAAGTACTTACTGGTCAAACAAATCATCTATTTCCACCAAGTGACTTATCTCGTTTTGAATTTTACCAGGAAGTTACGAAGAATAAAGCAAATGAAAATGTCATTACATTGATTTTGCATTCTGATGCTGCACCATTAGTACGTAGCAATAAGCAAAGTTTATGGCCTTTTTATACTTCTATAGCTGAACTACCGCCTCCGATTCGCGAATACAAACATAATATATTAACTTTAGCATTATGGGCTAGTCGTGTGAAGCCTGATCCTAATATTTTTTTAGATTTTATGCTGTTTCAATTACGAGCACTGATCGAGCGAGGCACATCGGTTTTTATAGGCAATATTGAATATCGATTCGTTGTGCGCATCCAATGTTTCATCGCTGATTTACCAGCTAAATCTTTATTATTAAAAACGATCAACTTCAATGGTAGAAACGCTTGCAATTATTGTTTATCTACTGGTATTTTTTTTTCAATTAGTTGAATCTCTATTTATCTTTTTTGTACTGCTGTTTTATCTTTTATAGGCCAATACAACAATGAATATCGTATGGTCCTATACCCATACAAACTCAATAATTTTAAAACACGTACTCATGATGATTTTGTACGTATTGCTAAACACGTCGCTACTGAATCTAAAAGAACCGGAAAACAAGTATGCATTGAAGGTATTAAAGGTTATTCGATTTTACTAGATGTATTGAATTATCCATGTTCTATTATATTCGATTATATGCATTTGGTTTGCATTGGCCATGTACCAGCGGTCATTCGACGTTGGCGAAACTATGAAACGAAGGATAATTTAACTTTAATCGATAAGAAGCTTGAAAGTTTATGTCTGCCGCATAATTGTCACGTCAGATTTAAACATGTAAGTAAATATTTATATTGATTACGAGATTCAAAAGATTTGAGTGTAGATTATAAATTGAAAAATTTTATCATATGACTAGTCTTTATCATTCATCATATAATCAACTTTTTTATCAAAAAAGAATTGCAATATTTTACTTATTAATTGAATTTTTAGGGCGAACATTATGTTTACGTTTGAGATCTGGCCAATAATGTTTCAAAAATTTGACTTAAATAAAGGCTTTCAATACCAGACGTTTTACAACGATATATTTTGTTTTAATGAAGATCTACATATTACTTACCGTTCAAAATAAATATGTTTGCTAACCAAATGAACAAGATTTTTCGGGTTCGAGAACCTTCCGAAATCGACACCACCTGTGCCATAAGTCTCCTTACTTGAGCAGTTTGAGTTCAATAAAGATTGATCCCCTTTCTCACATGAAGGAATGAATAAAATTTTTGTCAGATTCTAGAACTGTAATCATTCTTGAGCTGTTTTTCCGATCGTATAAATTTATAACTACGTCCGAATCTTTCAAACATTAGTGCCATGCAGCATTACGAATACGTTTTTCTATTCATGTGTTAAAAGTATCGATTACTTATTTTTTTATGTTTTAGCCTATTGCCAATGTAGACAATTGGAAAGCAAAGCATGGTAGACTTTTTGTTCTTCAAGTGGGTGTTCCCGTTCTTATTGATGTTATTCGACCAATTTATTTAGCACACTTTTCATTATATTCGATTGCTATAACACTTCTTCATTCTCCACGAAACTCTGCTGAAATAGAATTAGCTGATAAATTGCTGCACTATTATTGTTCATGTGCTTCAAGTGTTTACGACGAGTCGATTGAATTATATAGTTTACATTCACATTTGCATCTGTCTCATCAAGTGAAATTACACGGTGGTCTATGTTTTCATTCAGCTTTCGCATTTGAATCATGCATTAGGTATACACAACAACGAGCACATGGCTCACGTAATCTTGCTTCTCAAATAAGCTATTGGCAAGATATGGAAGCAATTTTCGATCGACAATGTACAACCATTGGTAAGCCAATATGCATTGACGAGATACCATTGGATAGTAAACAAATGGATGAATATCGCGAGCCACTTCACACACTTCTGAAAAAATATTTTCCATCTTCCATTGAATCAATCAAATTGTATAAAAGGTACAAGGGAGTTTTCGTTACTTATCACTCAACAATCTACGATATGCTTTACAAATGCAATAGCTATACTGTCTCATATCGGCAAGCAAATGATGTATTGCTTGAGTACGGAAATATCATTTGCTTTCTGCGAATGTCAAATGTAATTTTTGCTCTCCTTCAATCTTATCGACGAGCAATCGATTTCAATACGTCTTCCTGTTTAGAGTTACCAAATGATATTGACCAACTGTTTATTGAAAAATTGAACGAAGTATTCTCAATGCAAAGTCTCACAGACACATATGTTATTGTACCTATTTCGGATATTTGTTGCAAGTGTGCTTCGATACCTGTACGAAGTTATTTTTGCTTGTCGGAATTTAGAGTGGATTTTGAGCATGACTAGTATACAAATATCATTTTGAAAAAAATATTATTTACTGTTGTTTATATCTCAAATTTCTTTTCCAATTATAATCTCATTAAAAAATTACCTTTTTCTTCTTACTGTATTCTAGATTTTGTTTAATGAACAACAACGTATATGTCCGACCTTATATATCGACACGACCATGTACAGCCGACATTTATTGTTTAGTTTTATTTAAAGAAGATAATTCATATATTGTTAAAAAACAAACTCAACTGCCAGCTGCTGATAAATCTGGCTTAGTTAAAATACGTTTTCAAAAACAAATTATGATTGGTATGATTATTCGTGAAGGTTCGTATTCTGAAATGCATACTGTTCAATTCTAAAAAATGTAATAAATATTTCAGGTTCCAAAGATGAGTGCGAGAAAGCTGGTCGTGGACTCGAGTCAGCAATAAGAACTGACATCGAGTCTGAAGCTGAAGTTTCGCATTCCACTCAAAATAAATTAAACCAGCGCAAAGAAAATCAAGATCCATCATTAAGTTCAAATCACACAAAACCTGCAACAGCAAATGTTTGTGTATTACCTCCTTTTTCGGGTAAAATCTTTTTCTCTTCCTAACATTGTACTAGCTTTACTGTGAAGCACAGTTAAACAAACTAGGGAAATATTTTCTAATAGGTTTTGTTAAAAAGAAAGATACATCTTCAATTCTACATGAAATAATGTCAGAAATAAAATAACTGTTTTTCTAGAAAAAAAATACACTTTTGGCTACTTATTTTAAACTATTGAATATCAATAATGGCAGCTTAAATAAAATAAAGATCACGTTTTCACGAAATTTATTTGAATCCATTACTGTCCTGACTTCGTTCGAATTTATTGTTAATTTTATTTAGAGCTTATTAGTCGTAAAGACCGAATTCCGGATGAGCGAAACTCAAGTATTGCAAAAAAAACTACAAGTAATCAAAATAATAATAATTCAAACTGATTCAAGTTTAGCTTTAGATGTAAAAGATCTTGAAAACCATCAAATACCATCATCTGATAGTGATTCAAGCGATGAAATCGATTTGATCGACAAGATGTTGGAGGAGTTAAATGAAATCAATCCATCGAAGAAAATTGTTTGCAATAAAAAACGAAAAAAGAAAAATCAAACTGCTCCAGCTGCTAAACGTTTGGTTGCTACAAATAGTATAGTATCCGATGATAATTCAACATCTGTTTCAACTTTAAATGAAATATATAAAATGTTACAACGAATCGAAAGTAATTGTCAAGCAAATAAAATTCAATTAGAACAGCTTGTTGTTGAGCAAAAGCGAGCAAGTAATATTGTACGTCTAATGTTTGATAATCAGAAACGTATTCAAAAAAGTTTTGCTAAGCTACAAGTAATAGTTTTTTTAATATTATCAACTTTTAAGTAGAACGTTTGCATATTTAGGTTCATGTACCGTTAGTTGATCCACAAGATGAAGATAATGAAAAGTCGGATACAAGTAATTTGGTTCCATTTCGTAAATCTCTGGTACAGTATGATTATATCTATATACAAAATAATTAGTCAAATTTATTTTCTCTATAACTTTGCTTTAGGAGTGGCCTATTGGTTCATCTGATTCAGTAGATGTTTTGCTGATTCCGTCAGATCCAACAAATAAAACACGTTATGCAAAAAGTAACGCGACGCAAACGTCGCCAACCCTCTACTGAAAGGATTTTAGCAAAGAATAGCTGCCAGCAGGCTATCCTGCAAAGTGAGTGTGAATTTCGGGTTTCTAGTTTCACCTGAATTGTTTGTGTTCTTGTGAAGTATACTAGGATACTACTTGAGGCTTGCATGTTTGCTCAAATTCAACTTTTTTGCTGTACAAGAAATTCTTGTACATAGCAACATATTGGTCTATTAAGGTATATTGTCATAGATATTTCATACACAGTAAATGGTTGAATTCGGCAAATAATATTAACTTGAGGTGGTCTTCCAGCCTACTTCAATATAACATAAACGATGCAGCTCAGATTAGAATTTTAAAATTCACTATTACTGAGAAGAAGAACCTGCTTCCAGCTCCAGAGTGGAGAAATACAACAATTATTGCGTTCATTATACATATAGGACGCTGATCACTTTTAAAAATTCTATCGTATATGTAGACAGTGAATGATAAATGTTTCAAGAAAAGTTTTCATTTTTGGAGAGTAGTTGTGTAAGAGAAATTTTTGAGAATTGTTATATACAAAGGTGACAAAAAACTCCAATACTGAGCTGTAATAATAATGTTCTACTTTGAAATATAATAGCTTTACATCAGGTTTTATCCTTCTCATTTGATATAAAAGTTAGGTAAACTGCAAAATCTTCCACTAAAAACATTTTTTCGTTCTGAACGAACGAAGTTACGGACGAACGAAGTGACGAACGAACGAACGAACGAACGAACGAACGAACCTAACTCGGTGTATGACCCTCCTTTCAGTGGAGGGAATTAGAGAAAGATGTAAATGTTTGTGTAAAGATAGGTCTTTGTCAGAATAGATTATAGCGAAAGTTTAAGATTGTTTCACTTGAGAGCAAGAGGAAAATTATCTGATATCTATCATTTCTAAACAGATTTTATCTTATCAGTTAATTTTTCCACTTAAATGTCAAATCAAAACTTTAAAATGAATCACTCTAGTCAATAGATTTTGTATGCTTATTCATTCGTAGTTCTACATAATGTTTCTATTCCTTCACTTTCATATTCATGTGTAGAAATAGACTGTTAATTCAATTCATTAGGATTTTCGATAACGGATGAAAGAGAAACTAATTGTCGAGTATTAGTTAAAATTTCTCAAACTAAACAATGTATAACCTTACTGGGCCAAATTACAGGCTAAAGAAATCTGATTGGCTGATTTGCCTCCCTGCCTGAAATCCCATTGGTTGAAACCGCCATGTCAAAAACCCTATTGGTCGAAATTCCGACCAAAAATAACTTTATTGGGCCAAAGCGTGGACTAAATAAATCTGATTGACTGATGTGCCCCCCTCCCTGAAATCCCATTGGTTGAAACCGCAATGTCAAAAAATCCTATTGGTCAAAATCCCGACCAAAAATAACCTTACTGGGCCGAATTACACAGCAAAGAAATCTGATTGGCTGATATGCCTCTCCGTCCCTCCTGAAATCCCATTGGTTGAAACCGCCATGCCAAAAAACCTTATTGGTCGAAATTCCGACCAAAAATAACCTTACAGGGCTAAGTTGCAGGCCAAAGAAATCTGATTGGCTGATTTGCCCCCCGCTCCCTGAAATCCCATTGGTTGGAACCGCCTTGTCAACAAATCTTATTGGTCGAAATCCCGACCAAAAATAACCTTACTAGGCCAAACTATAGGCAAAATAAATCTGATTGGCTCATGTGCCCTCCTTCTGAAATCCCATTGGTTGAAACCGCAATATCAAAAAACCCTATTGGTCGAAATCCCGACCAAAAATAACTTTATTGTGCTTTTGTTGTAAAATGAGTGATATGAGAGGTCAAAAAACTTTTTTTCGTTCTGTGCGAACGAACGAACTCACGAACGTACGAACTCACGGACGAACGAACCTACCTCATTTCGGCGTATGACCCTCCTTTCAGTAGAGGGAACTAAGGTCTTAAACATCGTCTTTTCACGTGAAGATCTTGAAAATATTCAACCGGATGCCTTACCTAGTGACGAACGGTACCATTTCGTGAAAGCTAGAATATGATTTCATCTTTCTTTCACTATCAAATTGAATGTTATTTTCCAGAAGCCGTAAGATCGAAATTTAAACTCGATGCTGCTCAAATGACACTACAATGGCCTATTTTTCACNGCTTAAATAGAGCCTTTATAAAATACCACTAATGATCTCAACAAAACAATTTTACTTTTTCACGGATAGGATAGAAAACAATATATTTAACAAAGGATCTTTCTAAGCATGTCCTTATGAATATAATGCTTGAACATGCCTCTATCATTGATAAAAGAATCAGCTCTTTAGCTTGAACCATAGTGGAGATATTCAATTTTTTTTGGCAAAGTGACTTTTTTCTAACTAGGAAAAAGTAAAATTTTTCTTCTTGAGGTCAGTAGCGATACTTAACAAAGGGTCTTCCTAGACATATCTTTATGGATTTAAAGCTTGTACATACCTCTATTACTACTAAAACAATCACCCAGTTTGGTCAAGCCCTAATGAAGATATTCAATGTTTTGTCGGGTGCGTGACTTTTGGGCCACCCTGTAGATTGCTACTACCAAGGCGTAGAAAGTAGTAATCCTATGTTCTAAATTTTTGTCAGGATGATCTCAATAAATATTTTCTACTCATTTTCAATTTTGAAGATCAAGAAATTCTCCCTAACATCTGAAAGTTGTTAGATGCCATTGTCAATCTCTGCATCCCAACTTATAATTGTAGCTATTAACTTGATAACAGAATATAATGTGAGATGATTTACCAACTTTCAGTGACATATTCATTTTATATTATTCATCGTTACGAATAATCAAAGTTCATAGAAGCAAGTTTTTAAGTAAAATATAACTAAACAATATCAAATAGTAAGTTTTTCTATAAAATGTGTTCGATTTTTAAAACATGGCTTGTAGTATAGACGACTAAACAGACACGTCGCGAAAGATTCGAAGTTGATCGATGTGACCTGACTATGTAATGAGTACATATCATACCAACGTATGGTGTAACATTAGAAGTTTTCTACATGTCTTAGATAAACTTTAGCAAAATCCACAAATTAACGTTCTCAATCCTAGATATAATGCATCACATTCAAGGTAAGTTAATATTAGTTTACCTGATCTATTGAGCAATTCTATTCAATCTATCTAATATTTAGGAAATACGCATCAACGATTGAGTCAGAACATATCAAAGAAAAAAAACTACACATATAAATAGTTTATGAAATAAAGACACTTACTCGTAGGAATATTAGTGACCATTGTCGGATCATTTAAAGCTCGTCTAAATCTGTGTCTGTCATTAATACGTCTGATGAAGTTTTCAAAAGTCATTTTTTTCGTTATGTTGAGATCATGATCATCATCCATAAATTCATAATCACCATACGAATATGTTGTCAATGTATAAAGACCAAAGATTAATAAACAAATAAACAAACGTCTACTAATAATATTCTTCATGGTAATTTTCTACTTAATTAATTATATTTCTAAAAATATAATTCTTTACATAACGATAAAAATACTGAACACACTGTGTCACGTGAAACAAAACTTATCAAAGCCTCCGATAATCACCATTGGCATATAAACAACATTTTGTAATTCGACGATGTATTTATATGTTCGAATGAGAAACATGTTTTAACTCAATAATTCTTGTAACAACTCAACATGTTGAACAATATTAAAGCAAAAAGACAATGAATGATTGTGTCTGCCATAAAAGTAGTTTTAGTGTCACAAGTACTTATCAGAGCACGATTTTTGTTTTTTTCGACGTGAAAAGAAAAAAAAAGAGCAAATGAAAAAAGAAAAGATTTGTCATTATAAGTCATACGTTAACTTTTTTTTGTCGATTTTGAAAGTATGGGTAAACAAACGAGAAAGATTTCGAGGCTTATAGCACATAAACAACTAATATATCGATTTGTGTTCTCATAACTAAAGCTGTTAGTGCGGTCTCTGTGGGATTAAAATGTGAGAAAAGTTGTTGTTGCTGTTGCTAATCACAAGGAGAATAATTTATTCTGTATTTCTTGGGACACATTTCTTCGATGTTTTTGACTTAATCCTCCAGAAATACGATAAGTAGTTAATATATTCTAAGAAACCGTCATTGGTATACGGTCTGTAATAACATATGTACAAAGTATACCATAGTCTGTGCGAAAAGGGAAGGAGAGTGGGTTTGTATTTCTACTCTACATAATTCAACCTTTCTGTAAGATTATGTTTCACAAAATTAATACATGTTTTAATAGAAAAGAAAAAAAATCAATTGATTCTTTTGTTCCTTTTTCGGGAATAAATAGCAAAATAGAAGAATGAGAGCATTAAAAAAAACGGATAATATCCATTTTATTTTTGTACACTAGAAAAACAAAGAAATCAAAGATTTTGTGTTAAAAATTTTTTCTCAGAGCGGTTTCCTCATTTTATATTGTTCACTGAATTTCAAGATAAACTTACCGAAAATCAATTTTCAACATCCAACATCTTATATCAATCCATGTTTTATAAAATTGGTATGAGCCTGAAAAACGAACGAAGACTTATGCATGAAACTGTATTTATAGATGTCAACGCTAAAAGTCCGTTGACAAACATATTTATAATGTAACGTGTCGAAAACGTAAAATTAAAGCATAAGGTCTTCTTTTCTTTTAATTTATATTTTTCGTTACACAGATCGTGACGAGCTGAGTAAGAATATGTACATTTTCAATTTTTTCATTTCTTTTAAATTTCAAAACTGTTTGTTTCTAATTTTATTTTAAAAATTGTATTTAGCAAAACTTATTTTAAATGAGTTTCCTAAATTCAATTTTTCACACTAAATTTGAGACAAACAATTTTCAAATTAAAACGCAATGAAAAAATTTAAAAACGCGTATATTTGTTTTCAGCTCGTCACACTCTATTTAACTAAATACAAAGAATAGAAAAACAAAACCTCTGCTTTAATATTTTTTTTTTTTGT